CCGGTTCTCAGCCTGACGGCGGCTGGGCCCGCTGAGCCGCGCCAGCCAGGGGGAGCCCCTCCTGTGTGTGCAGCTCGCTGGAGGGAAGGCGAGCACGGGGCTCCGGTCGCTGCTTTTGCACAGGGCGCTCTGACTCGCTCGCTCGCTCTGGCGGCGTCGGGACTCTGGATCCCGTGCGTCCATATTCTCGCAGTGGCCCGCCGGAGACGGCCCCTCATCCTCCTGCGGACCGAAGGCTCTGAACCCCACGTGTGAGGATTGGTCGTCGCGGGCAGACTTGGCCGGGGGAGGCCTTGCCTTCACAAGGACTGGTACAGTGCTGGGGTTGGTAAGTTGGCAGGCTGGCTTTTTCTAGTCAAGGAAACGTCAGTGGTGGTTTTGTGAAAGCCCTTGACAAGGGGAAACTGAGAAAAATGTCCCTTCGACCTTGAACCAGGCCACAGACAGGAGCCAGGGCCCATGAGAACAGCCCCCTGGCTGGTTCTCCGCTGGCAGGCGGGTGAGGCTCCGCGCACGGGGGAAGTGCCCCCCCCCCCACCTCCCAGGGTCCACGGGAACTGGCCGCGCTCGCCCTCCCCGCTCCCACCCACCCACAGGCAGGCAGGCAGGCGGGCGGCGCCTCTTCTCCTGGGCCCCAGCGCCCTCCCACGCGGGCGCAGGGAGATGCGTGTCTGAGAAAGACGACCCGTTAGCGTGGATTCCTACCGCCTGCTTCCCAGCGCTGTGCACGCTCCTGACCAGCGTGCCCCTTGGTTTCGTGGGCAGGAGGAAGAGGGCGAGAAACCACACGGCCCCGGCTGCGCCCACCCCTTCAGAACCGGTCCGAGGGGTGCCGCTCACGGGGACACACCGCACCTCGGCCCCAGCAGTGGGGTCCCCCGGGGCATGGGGCCTTGAGGAAGGAAAAACCGTGCTTTTATTGAGGGATAATTCACAGTCACATTTCCCCCTTTTCAGTGAGTGAGTTCCAGCCACGCATGTCGCCCTGAGGCCACCACTGCACTCGGGACACAGCTGTGCCGTCACACCCCCCCCCCCCCCGTTCCTTCATTCCTTCTCCTGTCGCAACGCCCTCCCGGCCCCAGCAGCCGCCTCTCGGTCTCTGCCTGTAGAATTCTGCCCGTTAGAGAACAGCAGACAGGTAGCGTCACACAACCTTCTGAGCTGTGATGCACCGAAGATTCATTCACGTCTGTTGCATGTAATCGGCCCGGTTCATTCCTTTCCGTGACGGGGCGTGTCCCACGTCTGCAGGCGCCACCGCGTGGTGTGTGTCCGCGTGGCCGTTGGAGGACGTTGGGGCTGTCTCCGGTTTCTGCTGATCGCGAGTGCGGCCACCGCAGGGTTCACCTGCGGGCTTCCACGGGGACATAAGTGTTTGGTTCTCTGGGGTGAATAAATAACTGCAGGGCAATCGCTAAGTCATGTGTCAGGTGTGTGCTTGACTCCGGACAGACTGCCAGACCGCTTTACAGAGGGAGCGTGCTGTTCCCATTTCCCTCGGGCATTGACGCCGGCCCGCACTCACGCCGGCCCGCACTCACGCCGGTTGCCCGCATTCACACGGATGACCCGCATTCTCTCCGACACTGGGGGTTTCTCTCCGTCTCTGGCTCATCGTCGTCTTAATAGTGCCTTCCGACGAGCAGGAGTTTTTAATTCTGATGAAATCCACTTCTCAGTTTTACCGTAAGAAATCTTCACCTGAGGGTCACAAAGACTTTCTTCCGTTTTCTTCTAGGGGTTTGGTAAGTTTTTATTTCACACTTAGACCTATAATCCGTGTTGCACTAAGAAGTCTGTATGTGGTGCAGGCATTGGTGGCGAGTTGCCATTTTGCCCGTGGATGTCCGGCGTTTCAGCACCGTTTGTTCCGCAGACTCCTTCGAAGGCGCCTTTGCACCTTTGTGGGACGTCGCCAACTCAGCACGCACGTGCGGGCTGCTTGTGTGCTTCTCATCGGTTTCTGGGCTTCGGAGGGAAAAGGGTGGAGAGGAAGGCCCTTGCGCGGTCCCCGTGCTGCCGGTTCTGCAGCGGAAGTGTCTCCTGGCGTCTCCGGGCGCCCGTGCTGTGCGCGCACTCACCGCCGGGCTTTTTCTCCCCTGTCACTCCGTCTCGGCGTCCGCGCCTCCCTCCTCCCCGGCCCTCTCCCCGAAGACCGCGTCCCTGGAGGCCCCGAAGTGTCTCCTTCCTTTCTGTCCTCTTCCTCACGGCTGCTCCGTCGTGCTTGAGTGGCTGGGCCTCTCTCAGATCTCCAGTGACGTGTCAGACCCCTGACAAGGGGTGCCGAGTCAGAGAGTTTCAGGAGAGGGAGGGAGAGAGGCCGAGCCCTCCTTGGAGCAGGGGCCGTTTCTGGTGCCGCTCGGGCGCGGCCTCTGGTGCGGCGCGAGGCACACCCGGGGCGTTGGTGGGGTCTTCGCTTGGGGGGTGAGGGGGGCGCCTGGCTTCTCCAGCCCCCCTCCCTGCGGGGTCCTCCTCACGGGGCTGCAGTCGCTGCAGCCTCACTGGGGGTACGGGGTCACTCCCCCTGCTTCCCATGGGATGTTTTGGGGATGAAATGAGAAAGGGTAAGAATGAAAACTGGGCGGTATTGAGAACTATTGACCGATGAACTTTGTGAATCCTTTGTTGATCAGAAGCCTAAGACTCGTGAGGTATTTGTTGTGAGCTAATTCCAGTATTTAATTGGCTACTTTTCGTCCTCCCAGCACTTTGGAAACGTGTTTAGCACCAAGAAGTTTTCCTACAGTGCATCGTAAATACTCTCCTGAATGCTTTGATCTCAACTAACGGGCCACAACACCCCGTCTGACTCACCACCACAGTCCGTCCCTGCGAGGGAGGCGGCTGTGGGGACCGCGTAGACGGGCGTGGGGTTGGGGCGTGGGCCCGGGAGCTCCCGAGCCGAGCCCCGCGGGCCTTTGCGAGGGCTGCCCGAGGCTGGGGCTGCAGCCACCACTGCGCGTGTCCGGTGGCTCCTGTGAACGGGATGGGTTTCCGTGCCTTTCCGTCTTCGGTGAGCCCGCCTGCCGGCTCTCCCCCACCGCGCTCTTCTAATCCGCCTGGGCTGCCTCTCCCCACTCCCAGGCCGTGGTCATCCCAGGTGGGGGCGTACAGTCCTCCCCTTGACACGTCCTCCTGGCCTGGAACTGTGCTGGGAGTCAGGAGAGGTGTCCACTGGGTGGAGGGTGTGGTTCACGCTCGCTCTCCGGGAGTGCATGTGGCTCTCATTAAAGCAGCTCTGAACGAGACACCGCGGACCAGCAACAATGCAGCGCGTCCCTCGGGGTGCAGCTCGGAACCGAGCGGGTGGACTGGCTGCGTTTCCAGGCCTTGGTCTCGGCCTTTGTGTGACATCCAGTTGAGGAAAGGAAGGTATGGAAACTGTAGAAAACACTGCTTTCTCCCTTTTGTTATTAACAGGGGTTTTTGTGGCATAACTGCAATCTATAAAATTTAACATCCTAGCATAAAATTCAGTGATTTCTAGTAAATTTATAGGGTGCACAGTCATCACCACAATCCAGTTCTAGAACATTGCCATCGTCTAAAAAAGATCCCTCTGCCCCTTTGCGGAAAACTTTTCCGTTCCTCTATAGATTCGCCTTTCTGCACACTGCGTGGCGTGCAATCGGACAGTATGTGCTGCTTCGTAACTGGCTTCTTGCACTTCACAGCATGTTTGTTTTGTTTTCATGGATTTTAGAGAGAAGGGGAGGGAGGGAGGGAGGGAGGGAGAGAGAGAGAAAGAAACATCTGTCGGTTACAGGGACTGAACCCGCACCATAGGCATGTGCCCCGACTGGGAGTCAAACCCGCAACCTTCTGGTTTGTGGGACAATGCTCCAACCCCGCCACACAAGCCAGCGCACTCTTACTGTTGTTTTTAGACTCGCACTAGAATGTTCTTCACGGTGAAGGAGCCGTAAATATCGATTATGACCGCTCAGGGAGTGTGAAAATCACTTCGTGCTGAAGCCGGGTTTTGGAGTTGCTATACTGGACGTAGATTTCATACCCCAGCTGGCAGGAAGGGTGACAGCCGAGAGGACGGCTTCTGCCAGGTCGACTCTGAAGGCAGAGCTGTTTTGTAGTTTTCCTTTCCAGGGGCTGTTTCCTCCCGACGTCAGAACAGCCCCTCAGCAACAAGCAGATCCTCGGGTGGTAGCTGCAGCCGTTCCCGCCCATCTGACGGGCACTGCTGGGTCAGCACCCCAGGTCTGGTGCTTTGGGGGGGAAAAGAGCGGCGCCTTCTCCCTCGGAGATGTCGCCGCTCCTCCAAGGACAGCTGGAGTCTCTAGGGCGTGTGGGCAAGAACTCTTCCGGGTCCATTTGCTCTCCGTGTGTGCTCAGAACCCTGACAACAAGAGTCGGTGCCGAATGGTCTGCGGAAACGGGCATTTATGCCCCTCGAGCGCTTCACGTCTGGGTTGTCGGTCAGCTCCAGGCTGCTGAGAGGCTCCTCAGTCCTGAGGGAGCTCGGACTTTTGCAGCCCGTGCCGGCTGCCCCAGAGAGAACTTGGGTAGACGTGGGCTCCTCGGTCCCTCCTAGTCCCCGCCGGGTCGGTCTCCTGCCGCGGGGAGGCTTGGACAGCTCGTTTTCTCTCCCTCGCAGCCCTTCTCTCTGCACTCCCCCCTTCCAGCCGCCTTCTCCCCCACCCCAGGGTAACGTGATCTCCGAGGCCTGGGCTGCTGAGGCCTGGGCTGCTGCTCTCGCAGATTCTTTCAGACTTAGAGAAAGAGGGAAGAAAGTTAACCGTCCCTTCCCCAGCTCAGAGTTGGCAAAACTGTAAAAGCCGAAAGCGGGGCCAGTGTTCGAAGATAAAAGAATTGCTTAGTGATACCCAGTGTCTGGGCTTTTGTACTGAAGCGTGCTTAAGATTATCCTTTTGTACAGATAAGAGTCTGAGGCCTTTAGGATTATGGAGATTTACTATTTGTAGATATCTTAATCTTTATTCAATACTTCGATTAAAAGCAAACAAACAAGACTTTGGTGATTTAGAAATAAAATCCCATCATTTATTTCCAAAGTTAAGCCAAAGTAAAGGGACAAAGACAATTGATGAAAACATGCAAAACGTCTTTAAGTTGAATGCGAGCACTTAGAGTTTAATAAGAGTACCCCACACTATTTTCGTTCCGTAATATATTTGGTCATAACTTAACTTGAAGCTGTGTGACTGGATTTAAGAATTTAGAGTTGGGTTGTTTCTTCACCACCAGCAGTGTTAAGATTTGAGACCTGTGGTTTGTAACAAGTTTCACACAGGTTTGCACTCGTGTGTCCCGACGCTGGTCTGAGTTCCGGCACCCAGCGGGGCCTGTAACGGAAACATTCCGATCCAGTCCTGTCCCGACTCCGCCACAAACCTGCGGTGAGGTCGGGTGCACGCCGTTCACCTGCCCGCGCCCCAGCCGTCTCATCTGTAAAACGGGGCAGGGTAGATTTTGATGAACACGGATTAAAGATTTCAGACCTGTTTTTATCCCCATTCCCTCCCAAACCCCACTGAAATTACAGTGGAAGTGTTTTCTAAAAGTGAAAACGCACAAGGACAAGAAGAACCCAAAAGGATAAGTGGTTGAGAGAGGCGAATGTTGTTCCGGAAAAGGGCAGTAAAAAGCACGGTGAACAGACGTAGCAGAATTGAGGACGAGGAGGCCCAGCCCCTTCTGAGAGAGACAGTGGTTAGAAGTGAGCCCGTCTGCTTGCAGGAGCCTGGGGGGGATCGGAAATCAGAGGCGTTAGCACTGCACAAAGCAGGAGATGGTGCGGCCTGTCACTGAAATCCGGGGGATCAGCCGAAGGTCTGTAGAGACAGTGTTCAGGTTTTCCACTCCCCACCCCCCATCGCTGTGCAGCCAGATCACCCCCTCCCCCTCCCACACAAGACGGGAGGTTTTATACCGAGTAGTTGTCCTGTGGAGTCTCTGGACTCAGGCATCACCCCCCGCGGGCGTGCAGGTGAGCCACTGGGCCGAGAACAGAGAGGCGGGTGCAGATGTTTGTAAGAGGCTGCACACCGAATCGTGGGGTTCCCTGTGTCCCCAGCCCTGTCCCAGGCACCTGCCAGCCGGGGCCCTAACGGAGAGGAGCAGTCAAGATTCGTTTTATTTGGGGGGAGGGGGAGTAAAATGAATGCCTCTAGGGAGAAGCCCGTGTGGGGACTTTTCCGGCGGGCAGCCCACCACCTCCGTCGCCGAAGGCCAGCAGTCGCCACGCCCCTGCCACGCTGCCCTTTCGGTTCCTCTCTTGTGTGTGACGAAGGGACAGCCCCGTCTCTCTGGGCGTTAGAGGAACGTCTCTGACGCGACAGGTGAAGGGGAAAACAAATTTGCAGAAAAATTCAGAACTTGTCTTCGCTAGCCTCAGAGACACAGAGGGTGCACACATCAAACAACCGAATGTTGTTAAAAACAGTAACAATCGGAACAAGAGTGAGCTCTTTATACTGGAAACATGATGGCCAAAAATTTTTAATTCAGCAGAAGACTTGGAAAGGAAAGTAGCCTATTTGAGAAAGCAGAATGTAAAGACAAAAACACGGACAGAAAGAAAACAACAGCTAAGTGAACTGGAAGCTCAGTGGCGGGGGCTTCAGGTCTGTCTGGTGGGAATTCGGGAGAGAACGGAAGGAAAATGCAGGAGGGTTTCGGAGACAGTAAGTATTGGGAAAGAATTCAGAGCTTAGCAAAATGAGTGTTTTCCAGAGCTAAATGACTTAAATCTTCAAACTGGACTCACTCCCTGAGTGTCCGGCATAATATATGAAAAAAGACTCATTTCAGGCCATATTGTGAAACGTTAACACCGAGAATATGAGAGCGTCCTAAAAGCCCCCAAAGAGAAAATCAAGTCACATGTAAAAAATTAGGAATCTGAGTGGAATTGAATTTCTAAACAACAGTATTAGAAACTAGAAGATAATGAAGAAATGCTTTCAAAATTAAGTGGGGAAAGTTCTTTCCAGGGGAGAATTCTATACCCAGCCAAACTGTCAGTAGGATCCCCTCCTCCCAGGAAGCTGCCGGACCGCGGAAGCCAGCAAACCAGGGTGTGCGTCCGTCAGCGGGACTGAGAACAGTGTGTTTCAGGTTTGGGGAAAAGCCACCACTCAGTGTTTGGCGGACCTTTGAAATATTTGGATGAAAAATAGGAATAGGTATACAAAAGACTAATAAATGAAAAAATTCAAGGCAGTTAGTATCTCTAGGATAAACAGAGTGGTATCATGAAGGAAGCACTGAGTGTACATTATCGGTAGCGCCGTGAACAGTGTCTATGTCATCGCAGTGATGTAAATACTGGTTGCCGACCTAACGAAAAACCATGATGTTACTGTTTGGGCAGGTTGGGGACGGAGACCGTAACTAAGCTGACATATAATGTGGAAATCCGGTTAACCCAGAAACAGCGATATGAGGGTGTTAGTTAGAAATCTGATGGAGGGTGCGTCTGGGGAGACAGGCTGGGGGTCAGAGTCAGGGCTGCTGTCTTTATTACAAGATTGTTAGCACTATCTGCTGTCTACCCATGTGACTATGTCACTTTGATTAATAAAAATAAAATGGGCATACTAATAATACTAGTTTCCTCCTGGAGGAAAACTATTGTTTAATGGTTATGTTGACTTGTTCATTATAAAAGTGTAATAGAGTCCTACTATAATGAGATTTTCCAGAAAGTGGATTTACTAAAAGACAGTTCAGTGAGGACGCAGCCTCAGGAATGCCAGGGGGACCAACCGACAGTGGGTGTTACCCGAAGGACTCGTGTGCGCGGCCTGCACCCACATCCGGGGCCTGAAATGGGCCCCGTTAGAGACGAGAGGTGGGGAGATCGTGTTTTGCCCCAAAACATGGTTGCAGAACCTTGGCTTTGGGATTAAAAGTGGGACTCTTGACATTTCGGTCTTAGTTGCTGCTCCTACCCCACAGCTAGTGTTTCTTTCTCTGTTAATAAAATGGATTGATTTCCTCGTCCCTCGGAAAACCCCAGACTCCCCTCACTGCCTCGGACTGTCCTTGCTGAGTCACTCAGCTCCAGACTCAGTCCAGCCAGACCGAGGCAGGGACGCAGACCACCACCGGACAGCCTCAGAGCCCTCTTTCGGAAGTAACGATAGCGTCTGTGTACCGAGCACTTCCCGGTCGTTATTTCTAACCCTGGTGACCCGGTGAGATCTCTACGCTTATCACCGCCCCTCCCCCAGTGTCGCAGATGGGAAAACCCAGGCCCTGAGGGGCGGGGCAGTCGCTGGCCCGGCCCGCACAGCGCGGGCACACCGGAGATTCGGACCCAGGCTGCGTGAAGTCAGAGCTCCTGCAGCCTCGGCCGCGCGGCCTTCCCCTCCCACCTGGCCCGCCCAGTCCCGAGTCTCCAGGCCTTGGAGACTGACGCTCAACCAGTGCGACTCCAAGAGAGGCATGCGTGTCCTTACACAGCAGTGGCAAACAGGCGCGTGACCGATGTGCTCTCGCGAGCCGCACTCGCCTCCAGTTGGACGCGTGGGGCCCAGAGAGCGGAGAACCCTGCAGGCGTGCACCAGGCAGCGTTTGCAGAACCAGAGGGACCCGGCTGCGCGGGCAGGCGCATGCGCAGCAGCATGCGCGCGTCTCCAGATCTTCGCCCTCCCACTCAAGTCACTGGCTGGGCTGGAAGCGGTAACGGGGTCCGTCACGTCTGGGGCTGCCTGGTCCCAGGTGCCCCAGACGGGCCCGCGTCAGATTCACCACCGGCCGGCCCTCCTCTCCCACCCCGAGCTTCTGCCCACAGGTGGGGGCGCTTCGGCACCCAGCCCCTCCCGCTTCCCTTGACCCCCTGCCGCCTCCCCCACCTTTTAGAAATAGGACTAAACTCCAAGCTTTTAAAAAATTTCAATTTTCATCCTAAAATCTCCAGCGGAGAGTCCCCTTTTGGTAACTTATTCTAGAACTGTACCTTTCTGAAGTTCACAAATCGCTCTCAAATGAATACACGTTGGAAGTACCCACTGCTGCTCGTCCTGTTCCCAGTGACGAGGGAGAAGCAAGTCCTGCCTCCTCCAAAACTGTGGTTGTCAAACCCGGGTTCCGCTCACAGACAGCTGGGGCGCCTGTGGGGCACCGCGCGCCCGGCACGCTCCGGCGCTGGGCCTCAGAGCGGAGGCCGGGAGTGTCCGGGTGGGCGGGCACCGCGGTGGTTCCCACCAGGTTATCCCCGCCTGTGCTTGCGGAAACACGGCTCTACCACACTTTCATGAAGGCCCTTCTTAATATTCTCAGGGTACGTTAAAGCATTTCAGATAGTTCTGACTCCTAGAATGATCTTTGAAGACGTATCTTTTTCACACAGTTATGCTTTTTATTCCGTCCTCTGGCTTTGCGCCTGTGATCCACCTTTTCGCTGAAATCGCAAATGATGTGCCATTTGGAAAGCTCAGGGACTGTGGACCTCACTGCTTCCTCGCTGTGTGAACTGGGACAAGGACCCTTGCTCTCTTCCCCTTCTTCCCCTCCCCCGCCGGGCCCCTTACCTGTGCGATGACGACACTGAGCCACCCAGAACTCTGAGGGTCGTCGTCGCGAGGCCGGTGCCTGGCGCGTGTTCCAGGCACAGCCAGCGTCTGCTCCTTCCCCAGACTGAATGCGGCGCAACCGACCGGTGATTTCGTCCATGGTCTTTTTCATTTCTTTGCTTTTTCTTTCCTTTTTTTTTTTTTTTTTTAAGTTAATGCCTTTGAGGCTTAAGTTTGCTTAGAGAGAATCCTTGGGCCTTTTTCTTCATTGAAGATTGAGATTTCCCTTTATTTGTTTGTAACAGATTGCCTTTTGTACCTTGCAGGTGAGTTTTATAAGCATCCAAACTGTGTCAGGAGCCCTGGCCAGGTGGCTCAGTTGGTTGGAGCGTCGTCCTGTACACCAAAAGGTTGCGGGTTCGATCCCTGGTCAGGGCACATACCTAGTTTGTGGGTATGGGGGGCAGCCAATAGATGTTTCTCTCTCTCTCTCTCTCTCTCTCTCTCTCTCTGCCCCTCCCACCCTCCCACCCTTCCACCTTTTCTCTCTCAAATTCGTAAACATGTCCTCGGTGAGGATTTTAAAAAGCTGGATCTGGAAAGAATAGCCCAGGCCTGCCATGGCAGTGTACGGTTTGGTGACGTTTTCGATCTCCGTTGCTGCTAATTCAGAGTGTGTTGCCAGACCTGTTGACGCATAGTCTCACAACTGGATTTTAAAAGGTTTGGATGCAGTTTGTAAGCATTACTCACTGTCAGAAGTTAAGGCCATTTTAGACTCAAGAGCAGAGTGTTAGTAATAGTCGTTAGCTTTTTAAAAATAAACGTGCATCCCCAGTAGGAAGCGCAGCACGTGCCGGCCAATGCGTGGGCCCGTGTTAGCCGAGAGTATTCGAGGGCATGGTCAGAGCTGCAGAAATGCCCGTTAGCTTACAATTCTGGGCATTAACTTGCCAATTTGAATATACACCCCGTTAAACCTGAAATGCTGTATGATGACAGACTGTATTACAGTCTGGTCCAAAGCCCTGAACTTCCCAAAATGGTATCCGAACAGATTAGTGTATTTTTCAGCTTGGGGTTGCAGACCAGTAAGTCAGCCGTCTTTACCTGGAGGCTCCCTAGCGGAGGACGGCATCCCCCGGAGTCCAGATAGCATCCGCAGCCACTGCCCTTGTCACCCGGTAGCCCTGGAGCGCCGGGCCTGGCCGTGCCTCCTGGGTGCTCGTGGGGCCTGGCCTGGCACTACAGCACGGACGAACAGGGGGTCCACTCGGTTGGCAGGAAACACGTTTTGTGCGTGGGTCAGAATTCGGCAGGGCGATTCTGGAACGTTCATGATGCCCTTGCTGGGAGCCCCTGTGATACACACCGGTCACGTCCAGTCCCCTCTCGGGTTCCTGCGGGTTGTCTCTGGAAGCCCCGCATGCAGAAGATCTCCTCGCTCAGCCGTCCCTGGCGGACAGAGGATGCCCCCGCGTTCGCCATTGCCATCTGGACTGGAAAGGGAAACAGATGGGTCCGCTGGGCCGCGGGGGCGGGCCGCCGCAGCCGGGGGTGTTGATGAGGGCTTCCTCCGGCACGTGTGCCAGATTTAGTCACTCCGCCAAGGACGCAGCTCTCCGACGCAGTCTGCTGGCCGTGTGTCCCCGGCCGGAGGTGCTGTGCAGCCCTCTGGCTGGTCGGGAGCCGGGCACACGGGCCTCAGCACCGGTCCACTCTCACTGTCGCCGTGCTCAAGGGTTGGACTGCACATTTTTGCTTGTTGCCATTGGCTCACCTGACACTGTTACTAAGTTTACTTTCCTGTCGTTATTGGGGTTCATCTGATCTGCATTCAATGCCTCGGTCTGATTGGGGTCCCCCGTGTTTCCCACCAACCTGGACTTCTGGTTCCACGCCAAGAAACACATTCCTGTGATTGCTGTTGTTTTGCAAAACGTTGTGACATTGTCCGGTGTCATCCTGACCAGAGCATGAGGAGGTTTGAGCCTCGCACAGCAATGCGGCGGCTTTTAAAGGCGTGCCCCTGTGGCACTGGGCAAAGAGGGGGGCAAGTTCCCTGTCGGAGACAGTGGGGGGGCGGGGGGGCGGTGCAGGCCCTGCCTCTGCAGGGTCCTCCTCGTGCAGGCTGCATTCCCTGCACGTGTGGTCAGTGTGGACGCCTGCGCCTCCTTTTCCCAACTGCCTCCCAGCCTGAGTGCGTGATCTGACGCATGTGTTGGGTACTTGTGTAGCTGCTGTGTGGGTTCCAGCTGATTATTCACTCCTTAGACACCCACTGGGTTCAGCCTCAATCACAGTAGGCTCAGTGAGTATGGATGAGACCAGAGCTGGTAATTCCAGAGGAATTCGCATTATTCACCAGCATTCTGGGGACGCAGGGTTTGCCAGGGCACTGCCCACAGTGGAGGGACTCGGCCTCAAGTGCGGCGGGTTGGAGGCGTCTCCTGCAACGGAAGGGACGCACGAGGTTTCAAAAGTGGCGACGAGTGCCCGCGGCGCCCGCCAGCCAGAGCAGCCGGTGTAGCCGGTGACTCTCTTGGGGTGTTAGGACCACACTTCCCGGGGCTGAGAATCCCTAAATGCCGCGCTTACAAGAAATCTCCTCGTTGACGTAGGAGTTGGCCGGGGGTTGGTTTCGGGCAGCGGTAACGAGCTAGGGCCGGCCTGGGCCTGCCGACGCCGAGAGAGGGTCCCGCGCGGCGCACAGGGGGTTAAGGCAGTTGAGGAGGCGGGGGCGGGCCTCGCGGGCCCCGCTCGGGGGCCCTTTGTTAACTGGCGCGTCCGGAGCGGAGACGGAGACGCGGCCGCGGCCGTGGGCGGGCGCGCGGGGCGGCGGGGAGGCCGCATGGCGGGGCCGCGGGGGCCCGGGAGGGCGCGCGGAGCCAGCGGGGCCCGCCGGGCCTGAGCCGCGTTGCGGAGGAGTTGGGGGCGCCGGCCCCCAAGGCGCCGACCCGCGAAAATGTTGGAGATCTGCTTGAAGTTGGTTGGCTGCAAATCGAAGAAGGGCCTCTCTTCGTCCTCCAGCTGCTACCTGGAAGGTAAGCGCCGGGCGGGCCCCAGGGGGGTGAGTCGGGACGGCTGTGCGTCCGCGGGTCGGGCCTTCCTAGGCCTCGCCCCACTGCGCGCGCTCGCTCCCGTCCCTCTCCCTCCCTCCCTTTCTCTCCCTTTCTCTCCCTCCCTCTCCCTCTTTCTCTCTCTTTCTCTTTTCCCCTCCGCAGCCCCTGCGCGAAGGGTGCGGGGCTCCGACCCCCACGCACTAACCCCGGGAGAGCCCTCCTCCGGAGGGTGGTGTCCAGGGCCGCGTCTGCGGGACTCTTCCCGAAAAAGTTTGGGAAGGCGAACTCCACAGGCCTCAACGGCCCTGTGAGTCGACGTGGTGGAATTTCCACCGTTAATTGGAAATTATGTGTCAAAAAGGTTGACCCGTGTTTGTGAAACATGTGATTTTCATTAAGTATCGTGTACTACAAAGGAAACACGGCTCTACCATTTATGGATACAGAATCGCAAGTGATCTTTCCATTCCCCCACCCCCACCCCAAACTTACCTACCGACCACGACGAGGTCTCACTGGGTGGGGGAAAGAGAGCTCGCACCCGGTTTTAAGAAGGCACTTTGAATGAGCCCAGAGTCCTGGGGGGAGGGGGGCCTCGGTGGCTTGGCTTCGGTGACGTTCAGGGCCCAGGGCGGTTCACTTCCCCTGCTTTCCTGTCCGGTCCCCTTTTCCTTATCTCATCCCCTCCCGCCCCACCCCCCCTTCCTGTTCCTTGTCTTTCATTTTTTTGTCCAAGTAAAGTGACCTCTGAAAGGGAGGGAATGGAGAAGGAGCGGTCTATGGTTTGGTAGCTTCAAGGTGGATCTGAAATGAATCTGCTCTGGGGACTGCTCCTCTCAGGCTGTTGCTTCCAGCTGAGAAGGCCGATTGAACTTGAGATGTAACCCTGCTCCGAGTTTCTCCGTTATTTCAGCGAGGACTCAAGATGAGAGTAAAGCTCATTTTGGAACAAGTAGGATTTCTCCATTTGTGCCAGGAAGTGGTAATGTTTTTCCTTTTCAAATGAAGGAGAAATAAACGGAGGTGTCCTTAATTGTGTAAACTGTTTTTTTTTTTTTCTTTCCAATTTTTTGATGCGAGGCCCTGCCTGGAGCCACGTGTGCGGCTCAAACCATAAACACCAGTAATGCAGGCGAGGCCGCCTTGCCCTTCCTGCCACCGTCCGTGCACAGGGGTCCCTTTCCCTCTCCGGGGCCTGGGGCCCGAGGGGGCCCACAAATGGAGTAGGCTCGAAAAATTAAGCATCTGAAGAGAGGAGCTGGTTTGTCCCCCCAAAGGTGGTTGTCTGCGCAGCCAGAATCCTCCTCAGTCAGTGCGTGGCTTGTTTTCCAAGCTGCTCAAAACTCTGAACACATTCTCATTTACATCTGTAACGAGTTAGTGTCAGGCATTATCATCTCCATGTTGCAGATGGGCGCCCGAGGCAGGGGAGATGAATGGACTTTTGTAGCTGCAGAGCTGGCGGAGGGTGCAGGGCAAGCTGAGCTGTGACCTTGTTTGGTTTTCCTGGGGGGGAGATTTTGTTAGTGGTACCTGGCTGGTGTAATGACTGTCGTTTTATTTATTTAATTTTTTTAAGGAGGGGATCTAAAGTGTCTTATTACAGCATGTCTTGAAATAATGCTGGCTCTCCCCTCTAAAAAAAAAAAAAGGATTCTGGTACAGCAGACTGCTTTGGGTTAAAGCTTCATCTGGAAAGTTATCACTGTAGGAATTCTTTATGGAATTCTTGATCGTGGCGGAGCTTGCCTTATGTCATTTGTTACACTGAACTGGGGACAGTAAACGAAGTTACTGTTTTGTCGTGAAGAGACTGGAACAAACCTCGGGGATGCTCCAAGACTGGCTGTGCTGCTAGTCTCGAGGGAGGCACGGCCGCCGGCCTCTGGCTCAGCACTGTGCCTCCCCCGTGGCCGTGCCACCCTCAGCCAGGCCGCCGGTGCCTGCGGACAGCCGCGGGGGCCCGTCACCGCAGGCCGCGGAGGGAGTTACACGCGGTCGGTCGGGTTTTCCGTGCTGTGCCAGAAGGGTCAGCTGTAAATGCACCTGGATCGTGCGTGTAGTTGCTCCTCAGGCCTAGCTGTCAAAGCAACTATTAAATGCTTACTGTGTGCCGAG